TCGATTGAAGATGAGGGTGGTAGTTAAGATTACTGGTGAGAAGAACCCCTAGGTCTTTTTTACTTGTAACAGATTCAAGCACAGTATCATTGATGGTATAGTTGTGAACTATGACATTTTTGCTGCGATAAAAAGACATTGATTGACATTTGCTGACATTTAAGAGGAGGCCGATAGAGTTTATCCATATCACTAGATTATTGAGTTCGACTTGCAGTGCAAGACAGTCCTCCGTAGATTCAATTTGGCGAAAAATTTTAATGTCATCAGCAAAGGCGAGGAAATTACAATTAGGAATGATTTTTTTTATTTCATTGATGAATAATGTAAAAAGAACGGGTGAAAGATGGCCACCTTGGGGAACTCCCGAGGTGATAGGAAGGACCTCAGACTTACATCCATAGATTTTTACAAATTGGAATCTACCGGACAGATAAGATTTGAACCATGACAGAAGAGGTTCGCCAAACCCAGATTTGTAGAGAAACTCGGAAAGGAAGTTGTGGTCAACTCGATCGAAGGCTTTGGCGAAATCAGTAAAGATTACATCAACCTGGGATTTATTATCGAATGCTTCTAATACAAAGTTGTTAAAGACAGTTAGGTTCATAGCTGCGGAGCGCCCTGGTCTAAAACCATATTGTTCATCGATTAAGATTGCATTAAGAGATGGCTGTATGTTAAGTAAAACTAGAGATTCAAATAATTTCGCTATATGACTTAGTATGGAGATGGGTCGGTAGTTTCTAACGTTCGATTTGTCACCAGACTTGAAAATGGGAGTAACAGAGCTTAATTTCCAGATCGACGGGAATATACCTTCGTCCAAAGAACGCCTAAATATCTGAAATAGAGGAACACACAGAAAAGACTTAAGGTTATATAAGAAAGTACCTGGTAGACCATCAGGCCCAGTGGAATTCACATTCTTTAATTTAGCAAGACCAGCCTCAACGTCAGCTACACTAAAATTGCAATTACTTGGCAATTCGTAATATAGGAAGGGGAAGTCATCTGGATAGACAGGAGAAGGGGCAGTAAAAACGGAATTGAAATAGGATGAGAATAAATTAGAGACGGGGACAGAACCAGAACTAGTGCATTCATCAAAGTATACATTTTCAGGAATATCGCTGTTAGATTTATTTTTACGAACAAAGTCCCAGAATGATCGTGGATTGTTTATGAAGTTATTTTCGGTGCGTGTTAGGAATGCTTTATAACAGCGTTTTGATTCAAATTTATACTGTGCACGGAGGTTAGAGAAGTGAGTGTAATCTAGTGGCTTATTGGAGGACCTATAGACCGCGTGTGCTTTCTTTTTTGCGAGAACAATGGATTTTAGATCTTTTGAGAACCAGGAGGGGAACTTGGACTTAACGTATCTGTTCTTAGGTACAAATTGTAGGATAGAAGAGTGGAGGGCATCGTAGAGTGCATTTGTGGCTGAATCTACGTTAAGATTGTTAATGGTTTCAGGCCAGTTGAATGAGTTTAGAAAATTAAGTATTTTTGGGTATGAGGTTTTCCTGAAGTTAAAGTAGGTATGTGACTTATCGAGAGAAGGAGTATCTGTTAAAATTGGAAGAGAGATGTCAAGCGCAGGGTGGTAAGAATCGGAGGGCACGACATTAGATGAAGATTTATCGATGTATATGTTTTTGTTGTTAGAGAAGACGAGATCAAGATGTTTACCTTGATTGTTAGACACGTTATTTAGCTGGAAGAAATTTAGATACGAGAAGGTTTCGGGAAGACAGTGACTAGATGGAGAGGAGTATAATAGACCATAGTTATCATTGGACCATGAGATGTTTGGTAGGTTGTAGTCCCCGCAAAATAAGAATGTGCAGTTAGTATTAGCTGCGTATATATAATACGACATTATAATATATCAATGTAATAATAAGTATAATATAAAGGAAATGTATAAAAATTCAGTCAAATGTAATTTGGTGAAGTTAAAATATTGCGATGCTTGTTATAAGCTTGAATTTGCGTAAAATAAAATATAATAATAAACCTGACTGATAGTAGCTGGCTGAAAAGAAATAAACATTTAAACCACGGATACTACTTGACAGGTCGGTCGTATCTATATCGACGTTGAATAATAAACAAATATTATAACTATTTAGTTTACCTAAAAAAACAATATGTACCTATTTTATTATATTTTATATCTGTATATCCAGTGATTGTGTGACCCTAATAAATTATAGGTAAAAACCAATTTTTATTTTTGGAATTTCAAGTCGCTTTATAATTTATAATAATATAGTAATTTCCAAAACGGACTACAAGCGAAAGCGATCACTCTATGATGGAATGACTAGACCATATTATATTAGAAATCTGTCGAATATCAATGAAGTCGTAGGTAAGAATAATAACGAAATTATTAAATTCGGTGACAGTGATCAATAGAGTGCGAATTTATATGCATTAAAAACCAACAAAATAAGTGCTAAAAAATCTTAAATATGCATAAATGTATGCACCAAAATGTTTAAATATGCATGAAAATTAAAAATTAGCAATAAATGGTATTTTTTGAAAATTTAATTTAAACAATATATTTAAAATTATAGAGCCCTAAATTAAATACTGTTCTTAATTTTTTTCTGAAATATTGTCAATGACGGTCAATGGTTGTAATCGATATTTTCTTATTTTGGTATACCTAAGTTTTATATTTCAACAATTATTAATCTATAAGGTAATCTTTGATAATATATTTTATACCTACAAGTATATCTCTTTATTTATTTTGATATTAATCAAAACAATAAAACTATAAAATTAGTTTCTTATTTTACAATAATATGTATTTCAAATATGTCTAATTAAACATCGAAATATGTACAGAAGTCTGAAAGATGAAATACATATGCAATTAAAATTGTAAAATAAGCCCTTAAAATAGCAAAAAATGGGTAAATGTCCAATTATGCAAAAATATGCATTAAAAAGTGATCATTGTACTAATTATAGACCTATCTCTTTCCATCTCTTTCCATATCCAAAATATTTGAAAAATGTTTAAAACAATGATTGATTGATTTTTTGAATATACATACATTTTTTTCTATTAACCAATTTGGATTTTGGAAAAATAAATCAATAAAATATGCACTGTTATTAGCTTCAAATTGTATTATTCTAGTAGGTATTGACAATGACAGTAATAAGTTAGGTAATAACAGATTATTTCAGATTTAAAAAACGCTTTTCATTAAAAAGAAAATTAAAATATTGTGTGGTATTCGTAGTATTTATCTAGATGTGCTTACATCATATTATTATCTTTCAAATAGATCGCAAGTAGTTTAAATTGAAGAAATATATACTCAAAGATCAGTCGTCTTAGGATCATTTTTATTTCTTATATTTACATAAATATTGTATTATTAATCTTAAAATGTCAGGAAATATTAATTGTTATGCTGACGATACATTATAGTTTCAATTGAACATAAAAGAAATTGATTAATATTGTATTAATTAACGATTCAATGTACCTACTGTGATGAATTAAAAATAAGCATGTACGTTGTTATTGATAAAACTTTACCTTATAAATCATAATAATATATTAACTGAGGTGGTGTAGTTACTAAAGTTAGCTATTGTAATGAATAATAATTAAAAGGATTTAGATAATCAAATATATATAATATGGTTATTATTTATTAGTTGTTTTTGGTCATATTTTTATTAATATCAGGGTAGGTATATGGCTACAGATATTTATTATGTTTTGATATTGTTTATTGGATATTGTATTGTCATTTGATTTCACAGTGAGTATGAATGTTGTTGTTGTGTATAATTTTGGATAATATAATTGGTACCTACATGGGTACAGATATTTATTGTGATATTTTGGTAATGACATATTTAATAGTTTTATGATGGTATTGAATCATAAAGCTGTGTTGGTGAAATGATGCAGATATTATTACAGTACTCGAGGATCAGTTATCTTAGGCTCCTTTTTTATTACTTATTTACATAAAATATCGTCTAATTAATCTTAAAATGTCCGGAAATATTATTTGTTTTGCTGACGATACATTATAGTTTCTGCAATGGAACATAAAATAAATTATTGAATACTGTATTATACTTAGCGATTTAACGCACCTACATGTATGTAATAATATTTTTATATTTACGATAATTTAATAGTTTAATTCATTCAAATATCATTATTATTGTTTTTGGTACCTAAAGACAATATTAGTTCGGGACATATTAATTTTTTTAAATTCATCACAACCAGGTATTGTAACAACCACGGTCAGGAATTGAATTCTGTGAAGTGTGATGAGGGGTGGGTGTAAGTACTATAAAGAATAGTTAATTATATATTTATTAATATTAAAATCGATAGAAACTCAAAACCCTTAAGAAACTAAATGTTTAACTCAACTTTAACTTTTATACTCATTAATGCACAGCATAAGTATAATTTTATTATTGACTATACTTTCATTATAACAAGGAAATATATAGATTTTAATTGAATACCTATCATAATGAATAAATAATAGATTATCGTAACACTTTCAGCTGCCACCGATGTTTTAAACATCCATTCAAACTTTTGTTCTCGAATACTTAGAAATCCAAGATGAGCAAAAGAAAAGTTTTTTTGTGTAAATATTTGCAAATAAATAACATTATCTCCCCCGTCGGGACCCACCTTGATGTGGTGGGGGAGCTTGCGGGCCTTTAGTTAGGTCTTACCAAGCGGTCCCAACCCGGCTGTGACCTTAACCGGTTGAAGTCGGAGCTTCATGAGCCGCCCTTGCTTTAAGCAGCTGGGGTTGGCAGGTTGGAGGTAGCCTGCTAGCGCTAGCAAAGCCCTAGTGGAAGGAAAACCACGATAAAAATTCTGAGCTGGCCCTTTCTCTGAATAAGTGATAGGAGAGAGGGCTGGTAAGGTCGGAGGCAGCCTGCTCCCGCTGAGCGAATGCCCTAGTGGAAGAAAAACCATGATAAAAAAAACCCTTAACCCCCAACTCGTAAAGGGGGAGTACTTGGCATGGAGGTCAGTGAAACGTGTCTACGAGGACCCTGTGGAAGACCAGGCAACCTTCCACAGTAGCCTATTTTGGCAGCCTTCACTGCGGTACGCTGCACTGCCGCAGTGCGACTTTTATATCATGCATACTCGTGGGAATCATATGGAGAACCTCAAAAAACCAAACACACTTGATAAAATGGACAAAACAAACGCATCGGAAAACAGCAACAATGGAGAATATGGAAAACTTAAATACAAATATGGCATTAGGAACACCCTAGAGAAAGCGGGGTCGTCTACTTCTACTGAAAAGGTAAATTTTTCTCGTAGTTACGATTTTCAATATTTCCAACACAATCTTCTAAATTCATAGATGTTTATTGTGTATGACTATGCAAACTTAAATTTTATTTTTAAATTATGATTCTCTATACACTTATACACATAATATTATATATTATGGAGTATAAGAAAAATTATGTCTGAAAGTCGAAGACACTATATTAATGAAAATCCATCTGGACTTATTTAAGGCCCTTGCATATACCGGCAAGAACGTAGCTGTAGCTACCAACAAGACCTTACCTGACTACAAGCGAAAGCGATCATCTTATGAACATGATGACCATCATAATAGAAAATTGTCTCGAACCTCAACATCACCACTCGATATCCATCATGTAATTGGTAAGTAATATACACGTCATCGACCCAAAGACATAATAACGAAATATACCTATACCTATACCTAACCTATACGGTCGATATCAGTGCTTCACTATTTTAAAGTCAAACCAGAGCGATGATTGTATTGATTTTTTCATGGTGTTCGCAGTGTTGAGAATATATACAAAAAAACATTTAATTTACGGTCTTTTTAATTAAATTTACAATTTTCGGAGTTACGATCGTAGAAATAAATAGTTATATAGATATATATGTTACGGTCCAAGTAGAAAAATGGCCATTGTAAACATTGAAAATTAGTTCTATACAGTGGCGGCGCGAGAGGGTTTTTGTGAGACAAATGTCTCACAGCTAAAAGGGGTGGTGGGTGGGTACCGAGTAGGTACCTATAATGGATAGTCAGTTCTGAAAAATATTGAGTGACACAACGTATCAAATAAATAAATATATAAATAGTCATATTCATATAGAGTATAGACTATAGAGTATAGACATAAACATGGTTTATAAATAAAACAAATGCTTATCTGACAGACGTATTTTCCACAGTTTACCAGAAACGACCAATAACTGATTAGTATTAATAAATATGAATCGCAACTGTGTGTTAGTGACTTGTTTTCACATTCTGTCAGTAATACAGTGTTTTGCTGTTATTAACGTTATTATTGCAGTCTCAACTCTCAAGCAGAAACTTGTATTCATTTTTATAATTATTATTTTATTTACGTATTACGTTAATTTGTTAACACATCCGTTAAATCACTAACTATTGAAAGATGAATTCACTGTGTCCCAGTTGTGGAAAAAATCGTGATTTAATGAACAATACCAACTGGAGTCGACACAAGGAATCTTGTAAAAAAAAAAAGTCTGTTAAAAGAAGTGCTTCAAGTTCCATTTCAAACTTTTTTAAACCTACAGAACGTGATGGAAAATTTCCAAAATTTGAACAATCACGTAAGTAATTTTGTGATGCAAATTACATTTAATCTATTAAAAATATTTTCATTTATAAAATGTACCTAAATACCTAATTATTGTTGGTACTTGGTTATTTAAATGAATTATTTATAAAAATCCTGTACAAAATTAATTCATTGCGATTTGCTAATATTTAGTCATATCTAGTACATCATGATCGATGATCATAATATGAATAGTTGCATTTGTTATTAACATTCTTTTTTTTTAACTAGTTACGTTAAAAGTTATCAAAAAAATTAACTTTTAACTTTTTAACTAGTTACTGCCCATCTTTGGTCAAACGCAATGTTTGATAGAAACTTCAATTAAAAATAAATAAATTATAAATAGCCAACTAAATTTAGTAGTCCATTTGAAATTGGAAACATGTAATTTATTCAATTTACAAATTTTGGCTACTTTATACTTATACAAACTTAGTTTACTCAGCTGAAAATACACACATTTCTCCACTAACAGCCAACAGGTATTTATCTATTAATAAATTAGTTTTATTATTTTGGATTATGGTATTTGAGTTGTTTTATTGGTGGTTGAATAAATATATTTTGCTTTATTTATTAAAATTGTTTATTACGCCACTGAGTTGTAATGCATGTATACATTTGAATTAATAATTATTAAAAAAAGTGATACTAAAAAATATCATATCTATTTATTATATATTTATTTGTTCAAGCACCTCAAGCTGATATTGAAAAAAATGGTAAATCATAAATATTCATTGTTTTTCCTCAAAATAATAATTATTTCTTATATTTTAGTTTTTAATAATCCATCAACATCAATAATTGAGAACACTGATAATGTTCAAGAGCATCAGGTGAACATTGAAGAAAATGGTATATGATAAATTTAATATTTATGATTTTTTTTTTTGTCTAAATAATTATTACTTCTTATTTTTTAGTTTCTAATAAACCATCAACATCAATAATTGAAAACTCTGATAGTGTTCAAGCACTTCAAGAAAACTTTGAAGAAAATGGTAAATGATAGATATTCATGTTTTCTTTTTGTCAAAATAATAATTATTTCTTATTTTTAAGTTTCTAATAATCCATCAATATCAACAATTGAAAACACTGATACTGTTCAAGAACTTCAGTTGAACATTGAAGAAAATGGTAAATGATAAATTTAATATTTATGATTTTTTTTTTTGTCTAAATAATTATTACTTCTTATTTTTTAGTTTCTAATAAACCATCAACATCAATAATTGAAAACTCTGATAGTGTTCAAGCACTTCAAGAAAACTTTGAAGAAAATGGTAAATGATAGATATTCATGTTTTCTTTTTGTCAAAATAATAATTATTTCTTATTTTTAAGTTTCTAATAATCCATCAATATCAACAATTGAAAACACTGATACTGTTCAAGAACTTCAGTTGAACATTGAAGAAAATGGTAAATGATAAATTTAATATTTATGATTTTTTTTTTTGTCTAAATAATTATTACTTCTTATTTTTTAGTTTCTAATAAATCACCAACATCAATAATTGAAAACTCTGATAGTGTTCAAGCACTTCAAGAAAACTTTGAAGAGAATGGTAAATCATAAATATTCATGTTTCTATTTTTTTTTGTCAAAATACTAATAATTATTATTTTTTAGTTTTTGATAATCCATCAACATCAAATGATACCCGCTCGGTTGATATCTTAATTGGAATGCATGGTGAATATTCTTAATATTTTGTTATTTTGTATGGCAGTACTTTTAATAATTAATTTTTATTGTAATACTAACTAAAAATTTAAATTATAATATAATTTTAAAATTTAATCACATTTTAGATTTTAAATTATATCCAAACGATCCTGGAAATTTTCCTGAAGAAATGTCAAGTGAACTGTTGACATATTTCATACAATATGGACCATGTCAGCCTTCTCCATTAGAACTACCATCAAGTATTTTTCCAAAAAGCAAGGATCCAAATGGTGTATCAAGAAGTTTTCACGAATCTTATTATCACAAAACTATACAAAATGTTCAAGTGCGTCGAAATTGGTTATCATATTCACCTTCCCAAAATAAGGTATATTGTGTATCTTGTAAATTATTTGGATTACCTAAAGCAAAAAAGGCTGTTTTGGCACAAAAAGGAACAAATAGCTGGCAAAATTTAAAACGTAATTTAGAGACTCATGAACAAACTATTGAACACTTACAGTCTGAAATAAGCCGTGGACTTTTCTCAAAAAATGATAGAGTAGACTTGAACCTGCGTCTTTCTAAGAATCGACATATCGCGGAAAATAGAGAAGTGTTGAGAGTTATCATTGAAGTAATTATTTTCGCTGCTAGGCAAAACATTGCATTACGAGGCCACAGTGAAAATGTTTTAAGTGATAATCGTGGTAATTTCTTGGAATTAATTAAGCTGATGAGTCATCATAACTCAACACTCCAGTACCATTTAGAAAAAATAAATTCAAGCAACCATAATAGACTTACCTTCATGTCTCATGAAAGTCAAAATAAGTTATTGTTAATTATTGCAGAAATTATTAGATCCGTAATTGTAAAACAACTCAAAGCAGCTGGATTATTCTCTGTTATCATTGACACAACGACTGATGTGGCAAGTCTGGAACAATTTTCTTTTGTTGTTCGATATGTTCATGAAGGAAGCATCGAAGAACGTTTATTAAGTTTGGTTACAGCGTCAGATGCTACAGGAAAAGGGCTGTATAATACTTTTTGTACTATAACAGAAATGTATCAGATTGATTGGAAAACCAAATTATGCGCTCAATCGTACGATGGTGCTGCAGCTATGCAAGGAGAATACTCAGGACTACGCACATATATTCAGAATGAAAACCCCAAAGCAATTTATGTGTGGTGTTTCGCACACTTGCTTAACCTAGTTATTGTCGATACATTGGATTCTACAACTGATACCAAAATATTTTTTGGGGACTTGCATGGAATTGTAACATTTATGAGAGCAAGGAAAAGAACTGCTACATTTTATGAATGCCAAAAAAAATTAAACATTGAATCTAAAGCTAATGATAGAATTCGAAAAATCAAAAATTTTTCAGATACACGGTGGACGTCCCATGACCGTGTTATTACAGTAATACATGATAAGTATGAAGCTTTAAAAAATACTTTAGAATTGCTATCAGAATCCACAGACAGAGTAACTGCTTCAAATGCAAAATCGTTTCTACAAATAATTTCTTCGTTTCATTTTGTATTGGTTCTTAAGCTAATGAAAAGTATATTCACAATAACTACACCAACTTCATGTTATCTGCAATCAAAAAGCATTGATTTTATTCAAGCAATTAAATTGGTAGATGAAACTAAAAAAAGATTATTAGAATTGCGTTCTGACAAATATTTCCAAGAACTTGTACAAAATACCAAACAATTTACTAATGAACAGAATCTCTGTGAAAATGATTTTAAAAAAGTCCGAACGAGGAAAACTAAAAAAATGCCTGGAGAAAATGTACAAGATGAAATTAGTTCCTCAGCATCAGACAGGTTGGTAAATTATTTATCATTAAAATAATTCTATCATTAAATTCTTGAATATGTAACTTTTAATTTTTATTATAGGTTTAGAGTGAACACATATTATAAATGTTTGGACCAAATAACTTCATCTATAGACAATAGATTTAGTAATGCTAGAGACATACTGAAAGATCTTGCGTTACTATCCCCAGAGCGGTTAATGGAAGCTAAATATAAATCGGAAATGGATCTTCCAGATAAATGTTTTTTAGATTTGGCTACATGGATAACTGATATTAATCCATACCAACTTAAAACTGAATATTTATTATTCAGCAAAAGCTTAAAAGAATTGATTATTGGAATGAAATTCCCAGATAATCAATCTAATGAATCACTTGATATTAACACTGAAGAGGATTCATCGGAAGATGAACATCAAAATATTACGAGCAAACCAAAACAGAACATAACACTAGGAACTATATTAAATGTTCTCTCAAGTTTGGACATTATGAGTGCCTTTCCGAATTTGTATTGTGCTTATAAAGCATTATGTACAATTCCAGCCTCATCAGCCTCAGCAGAAAGAAGCTTTTCAAAGGTATAATAATTGTATTACAATTTTTTCTGTAAACTGATTATGTTTAAATTCTAACTTTGTTCCATTTAGGTTAAATTGATCAAAACTAGACTTAGGTCGACAATGTCACAACAAAGGTTGGAGAGTTTAATGTTGATCTCGTGTGAAAGAGACATACCCATTGATATCAATGAAGTTATAAACAAATTTGGACTGTCATCAAGTGTATTGAGAAAAGAATTAATGTTTGGATAATTGTTTTAATTGAAAGTACTATAATAAGATTTATAATAAAGCAGTATTTATATAATTTATAAAAGTTATTTTTATTGTAGTACCCGCAACATGAATTTTTAGAAAGGCTAATTTGATATAGAATTATAATAGGGGGTGTGGGGGGCGTAGCCCCCCACGGCTCTGTGCAAAATAAAAAGGTGGGTCGTGTGTGCTGCAACTAACATTTTCTTGCCTCACTGTCGAAAAAGTTCGCGCCGCCACTGGTTCTATACAATGACAGAGTTTCAAGCCTGATTCAGTGTAAATTATTATATACATAAACGATAGATGGGGTCCGATCACTGTTTCTTATTGTCCGTACATTTTGATGCGTACATTTTGTTAATTCTACTAATATCAAAACTGCCCTTCTTTCACTCCGTGATAACTTCATTGTCAATATCATATCTAGACATCATGCCGAACGATAATGTACCAAATAGTAATGACAAGTCAAATATTGTTCAATCTGAAGCGAATTTAGTAACTAGTGTAATACGTCATCATCGTCTGAGAGTATCGCGTACTCACGTACCGCCTGATGATAGCGACAAAAAGATTAAAAAAGTAACAAAGGACAATTATTATTTCATTCAGTATTTATTAATGTATTATTATTTTTTACAGGGAAAGTATGGAAAACCACCCATTTCTGGATCGAAATACGTACTCGATGTCAAGGAAGACGGTAATGTTCCCCTTTCACTCCCTAGAGCTGCGGGGACAAAAAGAAAAAGAGTATTGACTGAGACCAGTGACAGAAAACTTAAAAAAGTAATAAAGATAAATTGTTATTTTTTTCAGTATGTATATATTAATATATTGTAATTTTAATAGAAAAAGTATGAAAAACTATCCAATGTGGGTTCAACAAATCAACGTGATGTCGCGGAAGACGGTAATGTCTCTCCTTACGTCTCGCAACCCCCTCCCCCCAAAATACATCGTCCAATTAGAGGTAGTGTTCAGTGGGCCGGTTGGCCACTGCTATCTCCAAGGAGAAATCAAAATTATTTAGGCAAAGTGCTACACTTAATGCACTTAGTGTGAACGGGATATGATCTGGTGTGTTTAATTTTGATCCATTGGATGTTGCATGTTTATATTTGTGTTCTTTTGAGTATATTAATCAAACATAGTATGTATAGATACCAAGTACCCATAGTATATCATACATTCATACAGCAATATTACATTTATTTGTTGAGAGCATATATCAAACAGCTTTAACCTTTTAAGGAGCGAATTAAAAATACACAGGCGTTACTCAGAGAGCAGATTACGAATGAAAAATTGAAAAAAAAAACCCAATTCCGAAGCAATTATGACTAGTTAATAATGATATTTAAGTCACACTTTTATATTTTTATCGATGACATATAAATACGTCTTAAATAAGTATAGATATATCATATTTAGGGCGCATGTAAACTCCGCCAGTCAAAAAAATAGTATAAAACAGTATACACTCTACAATTAATATAACATACAGATAATTTATCAAACAAAAAATAATAATTTTATAATAATAACTATTCTTCTTAAATAAGTATATGACACAAAATATAAAAAACTTAAAAATAAAAATAATAACTGTTAGAGCAAATCATACAATTTATTGCAATGGCCAGTATTATGTCAAAAAATAATGATAGACTAATTGTTATAATTAGCTAGTAATCAAAAAATATGTAGATATATGATGTTATTATGACATTAAATTATGTTATAATACTTATAATAATTTGAACTGTGAACTAAAATTATGAGATACTATTTGTAGAAATTCAAACCATTAATAAGTCTAATTTAAATCCATTATTATAACTATTTATTGTGTATAGCTTTCTCTAAACCAAACATTTTTTTTTTTTAATTTTTAATTTTTGAGTTTACTTAGAGAAATATTCAAATATCATTTAGTTTTACATAAGGAAGTCATTAATAATAGCGGAGTTCCCATATACCTATTCCAGGTAAGAAAATAAAAGTGGAGGAGTTAAAATTACACGGTATTCTGGCAGAGTTTACAATCGCCCTACAAATAGGTTAGTTTATATTATTTATAAATTATAAGCAAAATCAAATAAAATAAAAAATACACATAGGCAGTAAACGTATATATATAAAACATCATTTAGATACATCTTTTGAAAACGCTTATTACGTATATTATACGGCAGTACAATCTCGTAAAATACGGATTTATTAAATTATGATATTACTTTACAGAATAATTAAATTTTCAATCTCACATTAAAAACAATGTCGATAATTATTTAATTTAAGTATTATTAATTAATTTATTATTTTATTTCATTTCATAAATACATATAAACACTGGGCCACACAGAAAATTATATTAGAATACAATTTAAATGTTTTCATTCTATTTTATTACTAGGTAATATTAATATTACTAGGTATTATTAATCCGTTTAAGACAAACTCCATAGGACATTAGGACTGGTTAAAAAACGTATAAATCTGGAAATTGTTCATCAAATTACAGGATAAATAAGCATATAATAGTATTATTAAGCGAGATTACTTATTTATGCTGTATTTTTTAACAGTATTAATATGTGTTCTGCCATGTACTTTAACAATTTATATTAGTGACTATTTATGCTGTACTTAACTCTTTTGGCTTATTAACCAGTCTCAGTAGTTAGTTATAAATATGAAATACAATTTTCAGTTCTGAAAAATATGATCCGACCTGTTGCATCAGACTTACCATCTAAAGTTGTGGACGGGGACATCAAAATATGTAAGCGGACTAGAACAACGGAAAAGAATGTAAAATTTAAATTATTTATTTTATTTTAATATTACATGAAGTCTTATATTTCTATAATGTACATTTGTAGAGTACAATTCAAACTCCAGTACGATGTCCGGGTGTAATAAAGTTTGGAAAATTTGAAGTGGAGACATGTTATTCATGCCCATTCCCGCAAGAGGAGGATTCTCCGAGATTAATATTTTGTGAATTTTGTTTAAAATACACTAAATGTCAATCGATTTTGGAAAGACATATGCGACACTGTAATTGGAGAACACCACCAGGCACAGAGATCTACCAAAGTGGAGATTTAAGCGTTTTTGAAGTAAATTATTTTTATGAAACAATTCACTAGAGAAAAACTACTTACACAATTTTTTATTTATTTTTTCAAACAGGTTGATGGAAAAGTAGACAAAACTTATTGCCAAACACTATGTCGATTGGGGAAATTATTTTTGGACCTAAAAACTCTGGACTATGGCGTTGAACCGTTCTTATTTTATATTGTGACGAAAAACGACGGTTTTGTAAGTGTACCTAAATAAATAAATTTTAAATTGTAATTTTCGAACTGAAAACTAATCTTGGCAGGGTCTGCCCTTCGCTCGAATCATGTGACTAAACGCTTAAAAGAATCATTGAGCGATACTATAACAAAATATGTAACGCTGTCAATCCAAATTATCTTAAGTCCATACATTAATATATATATATTTATGTGTATGTGTGTTTTTGTTTTTCTGCGCCCAATTAGAAGTCCACCCATTATATAAATTTAAATTTTAGTACAATCCAATAGTCAAAATGTATTAGTAGAAGTTTTCAATTCTGTCTACCGTCGCAAGACGGTAATTCACTTTTTATTTTTTTTTTATATTTGTCTACCATAATTATATTGTAATAATGTTCGATTAAAAATGTTAAGGGCTGTCATTTGGTTGGTTATTTTTCAAAACTAAAACAAAATGAAGAAAATTTTAATGTAGCTTGTATCGTTATCATGCCACAGTATCGAAGACAAGGGTATGGACGAATTCTCATCGAATTCAGTAAGTGAAAACTATATGGACCTAGGCGTTTTAGCATATATCATGTTTAGTTTATTTTTTCAGGTTACCTTCTATCTAGAATCGAAAGACAACCGGGAACCCCGGAAACACCCCTTTCCGGCTTGGGAAAAATGACGTACGATGCATATTGGAAAGGTGTTATTCTAGAATATTTAGATAAACACAGAGGCATTGACAACATATGCATCAATGATGTTAGCAGTGAAACTGGTAATTTAAAAACATTTTATTTGAAACTTTTTAATCAGAATTTTGACAATCATAATTTTACCTAATAACAATTTTTATTTAGGTTTAATGAGACAAGATATTATAGACACGTTCAAATCTCTACACATGGTTGTGGAAATCTTTAAAGAAATGACCATATGCATTGACTGGAATGTTGTAGATTCCCACATAAAGAAGAAAATTGAATTAAAACAAATTCATATCGACCCAGATCGATTGAGGTGGACACCGTCAAATTTACCGGATGGCCAAGTTAGTTTTTTATGATAAAAAAACGATTTTAAATAATTATAATATTTTTTATTAGGATAACCAACATCTTGAAGAATCAGTTTTCATCAAGTGCCTTCCAGGTGGCTAACCCTAGTGTACCTGTGTGCGACTGGCATGTATCCGGATTACACATGGATAACGAATGCTGCGATTGCGCACTGTTCGCTACCATACCTGAGTCCACGCACTTGTACGTTATGAAGAACCGGCTAGCGGACGCCAAACGGGTGCTGGTCTGGTTGATGACAGTACGGTAGCCAATGAGATGGACGCCGGCGGTCGAGTTTAATGCAAGGAAATGCACAACGCGTCGTACAACAAACCATTCAGGGACAGGGTAAGACTTAAAGCTCTCATCGTCGGGCAGGGCATGTCCGTGTTCCGGGTGACAGCCGGCGTCACTTCGATCTATATGTTCACGTCCATCACGTTCGCCGAGATGCACTTGGCCGTCCACGCATAGAAGCTGTCGCGGACAGGTGCACCGCGTACGACTTACGGATTACGGGTGGCTGTTTTTAGGTGGCTAATTGGACTTGGCTGGCTGCTATCCATTATCAACTGTGAGCTGTTCTTGGCCAACACCTGACCCGTACCTAACCGCGCGGTCATCATTATCACGCTGGCCCTCAAGATTTACCCCATGCTGGTGGACGGCATTGGCATTATGTATCGAAATTATCAGATATCGTCGCTGTTTGGCCTCAAGTCCATAGTCACCTGCTTCCCGTGAACGAAGGCACGCGATCGAGTTCAACTGCTGCTGCTGGAGGTGGATGTGGATTGTGGCTCCATGGCGATGACCAGACGATTTATACGAGTACGAGTCGAGCACCCAAACGATAATTCTACGACTTTGGACTAGCGTCGAGTGTGCAGAACGTTATACAAACATATTACACATAATATACAATACAATATGATAATAGAAGTGGTGGGACGATCTGCTGCAGGAGAAGGACTCGCCCTGCGTTTATATTTTTTTTGACGGGTGCATTTGTCCGGAAATACTGCAGTCGTCGTTTATCAGAAATATCGTTTATTTGTCATTAAAACTCACCGGGTAAGAAGAATTTTTTTGTGGAAGCACTGTGTTTATCAATTTTGGCACAAACACAGTCTTCCAGTTTTGAAAAAGTCAACATAGATTGTAAACAATAATTTTTCTCTATACTATATTATCATTGTTTATAGTTGATAATATTTTACATATGCTGTATATTCTTTAAATAACGATAAAAAAATGTTGTAAATGTATCATCTATATGGACACTTTAATATTAATTGTAAATATTATTATGTATATCAATCAATTTGTCTTTATTTTAAATAGTGAATCTACATGATATTTGATATACATCCAAGTAAATAGCTTGTTTGTTCTATTATAATTTAAAGTAAAAACTTTTTACATACGTCATTTTTTCTTTACTAATTCATAATATAATCAAAATATTTTAAGTAATTTATTGTCTTTTTATTTATTTATTAATTACAATATGTCATCTATATTTTGATAGATCATCTATTTTTCAAAAAAAGTACACTAATGTCGGTTGATAAGTGATTACTGAGAAAAAAATGTTAATAACCAAATCATTAATTAGTACTTATTATTAAGGTTAAATAAATAGTTACATACTACTGTTTTATATAGGGGGTAATTTTTGAACTTAACATTCTTATTTTCACAGTTAACTGTCCTGAATACCTGATAAATACAATTATTTTTCGAATATTAGCTTAACTTGTATTATGTTAGTATAGTACATTATATTTTCTAAATATACCTAGGTATCGGCTATATTTAATTAATGATACATAGTTATTTATTATATTCCGACTTTACAATACCTACATAAAGTAAAAACAAATAATAAATGGTAAACGGAAATTTTGTACCTGGGTACAGTAGTACAGTACTACAGTATATTGTTTATAATCTATAACGCAGACACTTTGTATGGTCAGATAAAAATATACATTACAGAACGATTTGTAATTTGTGCTATTCTATACATTTTTATTTTTTATTTTTTTATTATTTATACACAACACACGCATGGTTCAGCAGGTACAATAACAGTATGATCTATATAAAAAGAAAACATGAACAATTTTAATGAAAAATATACCAATTGATGACACTTTCGTATTTTATTTTCTATTATATACCTACATAAAATATATATTATAAATATAAATTATACCTAAGTAGTAAACATATATAATGTTAAACTTAAAAATTATGTTTCAGTTAGAAATTAATAAAAATCTTTAATTTTATAATTAACATTAGACATTTTGAACTGCAATTGTTCCATAAATAATGTAAGATAAACCTCTTAAATATTGAAATAGTGTTATTCAGATCAATTTTCCACAATTCTTCTTATTTTGTTATCATGCTTCTTGTACTTTTACATCGTGGTGGACTTGATTCTCTCGGGGAACAATTGCAGTTTGCTATTTTGAATTTTTTTATCGAAACTTATGTAACTCATCGAGTTAAGAACGATGGTGCAATCAGAATTTGTCGCTCTCACTTAGTTTCGAAGTTATGGCCTTCCAAAGTTTTCAATTTTACGTTTATATACTTGAGCGCAACACTACTATAATGCCGCGTGGAGGACCATTTTTGTTATTTGTTTTGTACTTACGTATTCTAACCTATTAAAAACGATGGTGCAATAATAATTTATTAAAAATAATCAAGAATAATTACAGAATAAAGTTAATATCAATTAAATGATAATATATTTATTTAACACATAATATATAATACATTTAAAAATGTACAACAATTCAATATTGTCTTCGCTGTCAGTGTCTGAATCGGACTCTGTTGTTTCGTCATTATGTTGTGTTTCAAGTGTTGCTGATGGGTCATACAAATTACCAGCGTGTTCAAAAAATTCAGTTAATGGCTCTAACTTTAAAATACTTTATAATTATGCCATATTTATAAATAAACGTTACGGACAAAAGTAAATATATTCATTTTGGAATAAGAATACATTCCCTTTTTGAGAACAATTGTAAGGTTTCCCTTACGGTCGAACACTAAAAGGGTACCGACCACCACGGATCCGAGACTGGTTAGGTAAAGCATTATTTTGACTACTAATCGTGTACACAGACACAAAATAAAAAAATTAAAAAGACATATTATTGTTGAACCAATAGATACATTCGCAATACATTCATCGTTCCACTCAGAATCTTAAACTAAAATAAGTCAAGTTTTTTAAATATTTATAAATAGCTCAAGAGTTATATTTAAAATTTTATTTTGTCTTGAAAAAACTAATATACATGTTTGGTGAAAAATTTAAGTCTACAAATTATTCAATTTTTAATTTTTTTATATAAAAACTCAAAAATATATTATCATTATTATAGGCGTTGATTACAAAAAATAATGTTTTAATATAAATTGATTTTATTTAAATGATTATATTATGTTTGTAAAGTACGTATGGCTACGGCTTACTCGGTACGGCTGTTGTAGGTACCTACCATGAAACGTATGACTCAAGTCTTTTCGCACACATTTACACAACAATGGTCAAATTATAACATTTTAAATGTTCTTATTTTTATTAAATTATGACATGAAGTTAAAAAGTCACATAGAAAAAAGTAGAAATTAATGTCCTGAAGACGGATAGGTAGGTAATATAATTTTACGATGGTTCACCGCTTTGTTGTAAGTACCTATTGTACATTATTAACCTATACATGCCATTTTTGCTTCGGTATTTAACTATTGTACAACCACAGGCAGATGAATCATTGGAAGAAAATCAACAACATATGGTCGTAAATTACAATAAATTATAATAATTGTGACCCTGACGACGTGTTATAATAATTAACGATTATATGCGTAATAATAATTAATGATATGAAAGAGAATACTACATTATTAAATGCAACATTTCATATCAATATATATTATATAAATGAATGTATCAAGATTTTCAAGGAATACATTTGAGTTCAAGAGCATTCAAGAAGTTACATGTGCAATATACAAGCGATAAGTATCGGACTCTTATCGGACTCAGACTTCGATACAAGCCGGTACCTAACTATTCCATATCGATAAGTATCGAATTTTTCTTCTTGAAAATCTTCTATGTGTGTGTGGTCCATATTACCATGTCAACCATATATATATTATTTTGAGATTTCCGTCCGTGTGTGTCTCCATATTACCATAACAAGCAATTATATATTATTTTGAAATTTCCGATGGAATGTTTTGTATATAAATGGTTGTTATGGTGATATGTAAAACATATTATTCATATAGAGTTGGCAATTTTAATGGGCAATGAAGTGCATGGGATCAGATATTTTTATATACAGGGTGTCCCGTGAGGATTTACTCATTAGCCGTAGAGGGGGACTCGCCGCCCGGACAAAAACCAGTTTATTGACGTTTTACTAATAAACTAAAAAAATTATTAAAAATCATGAGATTAATGAAAATAAAATGTTAAAAGCTCAAAATGTTCACAAAAATATACTCTATAGAATGGCTATCTTCAATTTTTTCAAAAATAAAAAAATAAAAAAATAATTTTTTTAACTTTTTTACTAAAAATTTAATTTAATTAAAAAATAAAATATTTGTAGTGCTTACCTCTGCGAGTCTTAATAAAAAAACATAATTACGATATCTCCATTATTTCAGGAGATATCGCAATGAGTAAATCCTCACGGGACACCCTGTATATAGAATATAGATAGATTAGACCTCTGGGCAGAAGATATGCTAATTTACAAAGGAAGAAGACCAACCCCGCTATGATGTGCTCAAACAGGGATTTTGAGATTTCCGATGGAAATTATTGTTTATTAATGGTTGCCGTGGGTTTCAAACCTATAATAATAATAATTATTGGTTGCCATTGGTTTAAAATTGTTGTTATATTATAAAAAAAATATTATTATATAATATTATTCATATAGAGTTGGCATTTTTGATAGACAATGAAGTGCACGGGATCAGCTAGTTATATAATTCTTGCTAATACCAATTACCTATGTAGACATGGGTGGTTTTGTGTATACCTATTA